ACACACACACACACACAAACACACACACACACACACACACACACACACACACAAACACACACACACACACACACACGCACGCATCAATCCACCGTGTGGACATTAACGACGGTTGAATGACCTACATTTGTTGGCGTATCCCCCACGTCACTTAGTCTACCTCTTGCCGATTTTCAGTGTCGAAAACCCTCATAGGGCGCTCTAAAACGTGCAGATCCCGCACTTAGAAAACCGGAAAAACACGTAATCCTACGCGTACCCTCGATTACTATGCCATGTGAATCAAATCAGACCTTCACCTCACCTCGAAACTACTTCGCCAAACCGTACGATCCTCACTCCACATGTGTAAAATGCAGACTTCGGAGTCCTAAGCCTTTACGTCCGCTTTCATTGATGGGCGACATCACTCCTGCCCGCCTGTCCACATCACCTAATAGGCAGTACTCGGCGTTGGACAAACCGTCTCCATCACGATGATCCGCGATGGGAACATGCTTGAGGTGTTTCATTCTGCACCTGCGCCGATTTTGAGGAGAAAGGAAATTGAACTCTACTTAACAACAACGTCAAGACGATCATTGGCCAACGTCCCTCCTCCGGCTGATCTTTGCCACCAGTTCTCCGCGCCCGTCGGATTGTTTGTGAAAGCCACTGGCTCGATCTGTTGCGACCGTGCCCGGGCATCTATGGTATCGATGGACGGCACGGGCCTATCGATAGCTCGTGACTCTGCCTCTCGCCGCCGCCTCCGTAAGCCGCAGAGACACCAGACCAGTAATGCACCGAACACGGTACCCACGACGGGTAAAACGACGGCGAGAGTGATGACAATGGGTGTGAGATCGGTTTGCTTCTTGGCAGCCTGGGGGCTGGAGCTGCTGATAGCAGCAGAGGACGATTTTGAGAGTGAGGGCGGAGGAGAGCTAGAAGGAATAGGGGTAGGCGGGACGGGAGGGAGCGACGTAGGAAAGGTGTTACCGCGAGGGTGCTGCGCAGAGATTACGGGCGGGGGAGAGAGAGAAGAAATGATGGGTCTGATCATAGGAGGAACGGATGGAGGCGAAGAAGATGAGATAGGAGAGGAGGAGGGCAAGTCCCAACTGTCTATTTCGAAGCTCAAGCTGGAGAGCAGGCGGCGCAAGAACAGCTCGGCAACGGAGTCAGACAGTTCCTTCCCTCCGGCGAGGAGTTTATCCAGCTCGCTCTCGCGGAAGGTGATCGCATTGCTGCGCCGGCTCGCTTGCGCCTGAGGCCTACCGCTCTTCGACTCGACCGCCATGTCATGGCTTCCATCGCGCGTGCTCGATGGAGGTGCAGAAGAGACACAATGCAGCGTGAAGGTTGTCACAAGCCACAGCACTGCTCCCATACGAAGACAGAGAGAAGAGCAAACGGCAGCCATCGTGACCGTTCGCCGAATGATTGTAATCAAAGGGCCGAATGATTGTAATCGAAGGTCGAAATGGAACGGTGTCGAGCACGGACAGGCTCAGGCCGTCAAGATTGGAGATAGAATCCGCCTGAGGGCATACAGAGTCAGAGCGGACGATCCCATCTGGAGAAGAGCGCTAAAGTGGTCGCACCTAGCGACGAGGCGCTGCAAAAGCACCTCGCGTGAGAGTCGGTGAGACTGAAGCGATGTCGATTCCATGCACATCACGAAGACTCTGATCGCAGCAGAGCCCTCACCGCAGGGCCGGCAGTCTCCACGCGCATACATCTTCGCCGCGATAGAGCCCC